GGGGGGGTGAGAGAGTAAAGAGTAAGAGCAAGAAAAAGATGGTAATTAGTTGTGACTCAAGGTTTCCCTGACCATAATCCTCTGAACAATCTACACTCATACAGGTGTTCACTAAATCCAATTACCAACAGAAGAGGCAGTGGAGAGGAGAAGGCTAAATTATTTCAGCATTAAATAATACTGAAACGTTTTTGGGGGGTTGCCAAATAATAAAGTTGTATGTTGCACCTTCAAAATGCATTTTCCAGTCACTCGGGGAGACGGATATGCAAATGAAAATATTAGCAGAGCATCTACACTTCAGTCAGACTTTAAGTTTGTAGTTTACTTTTTCATAAATGACTTTGTGTTTATAGATTTCTGTCTTTTAAATAAGGTCAATAGCACTACCAACATGGAGCTCATACATAACAATAGCTGATAATATAGTGGACTCATATGACTGCCCCTATGTTTACAGAGCGCAACAAAGACGAGGCATTATATTTCAAAAGCTGCCTATTTATGTCAGGAGAGCTCATGCTCTTAAAAATGGTAATTGAGCTTTGGTACAGCACATGCATAATTACCTCTTTAAGACTGTCTCTGCTATTTCTTTTGTATTCCCGTGTATCGGTTTTAATATGTAAGTCCAGATATTGTGTACAGTAGATCCAGTATGTGTCACTGTGGTATTGTGCAGACCTCATCCTCTGATCCCCTGTATGGTTAAGCAGACCACAGAGCTCTGAGCAGGCTTTTGCAGCTTATTCAAATCAGAGCACTACTCCATCAAAGCTTCTGTTAGTTTAGCTTAATTGTAACTGAAATGAGATGAGATTAGAAACAAAGGCAGTCATTCTGTTACACAGTAAGCATGGGCAAGACTCTTCTAAACAGCACAAAGTAGTCAGCATAAAACTGTTAATGATTTTATGTCGAAAATTGCTTTCACCTGATTTGTACAATCAAATTCTAACCAAAATAAGACATGACCTGACTGAAAAAATAATAGTTATTTTTTAAATAAACATGCAAAGTATTAAACTTCTTCAACTGAACATCCCATAATAATAATAATAATAATAATAGTAACTATTATAATGAACATATACCTGACATGCTCATCCTAAACTATGGAGGTGTGCAGTGTGGAAAAAAGTTAAAGTTCATCAAATAAATGCACCAAAATAATGTAAATAATGCAAATGAATTCAATTTATTTCCTTTATATTAAACCAAATTACATCATTACACCTCATAGTGCATGTAAGGTGAAGATGCCACGTTAATAGAGAGAAAACCCCAATATTTAAAATGACCGTCTATGAGCAAGCACTTGGTGACAGTGGCAAGGAAAAACTCCCTTTTTACATGAATAAACTGCTGTGTGTGAAGACAGTGAAGAGTAATAATAATAAATGATTTAATGCAGAGTGGTGTATGAACATATAGAGAGTGCATAGAGGTGAGTGAAGAAGAAACAAAAAGTGCATCATGGGAAAGGAAAATTAAAACAGAATTCATTGTATGTCAGATTTATAAATTACCTGCATTATTTTACCAATATTCTACATATGTTTGTTGATATATTTATTTACTGGCAATATAAGGTATACGGCATTGCTTGGTGGGCTTTTAACCCTGTTAAAGTACCATTCAATTTTTGGCATCTTTATTTCAGCACTGACAGAATGTGAGAAAATCCCCAAATGAAATCGTAAACTCAAATAAAAACTTGGGAGTTCTGATCTTAATTACTTTTCTACTGCTTTGTAATATTGTTGTGACCAACTGCCTGTCTATGCTAGTGAGCTTGTTTGTGCTCTTCGCCCTCACCTGTAACTAGCGCTACAGGGAATGCTTGTCATGCTACTTGTGTCAGACAAGATGATTTTGGCTTCTTGTATTTTTTTTTCTCAAATAAATATCCAGAAAATAAACTGTATCTTGTTTAAATGCTAGCACATCACTGGTATACTTCAAGGACACTTACATAACACACAAGTGAAGAAGAGCTTTGCGAGTGAAGATGAAGGTGGTTTACTGAAGTGAGCAGAAAGGGGAAAGAAGAAGAAGATTCTTGCTCCACTCCCTCCAAACTTGTAATGGAGGTTTGATTAGCAAGCATGTAATGTACTTTACCCTGAAGCTAAAGGCGGGGGGAGGTACAGGGGGGTGTTAGAGGAGGCAGTGAAAAAAAATGGAGGGAGCATTATGGCAGGAAGAAGGTGGAGCGCATACAAGCTGCCCTCTCAGCAGGTCTCCTCATCCAACCTCTTCCCGCCACCCTGTCCACCTCCTCCACTCCTTGAGACGAGGACACAAGTTTCCCCCCTACTTCAAAACCTTGTGTCTAATGCCACCTCCCCATCCACCGCCACCTTCACCCCCTCCCATGCTGTATAAGCGGTGGAGGTGGGTGGAGTAGGATGGGGTTGGAGGTCAGAAGCAGGAAGAGTTTTTTTCTTTTTTTAACAAGCTGCACGTCTGCATGCAGGAAGTTGTTTGTGCACAGACACAATGCAAGTTTATTTGAATCCAGCAGGGAACAGTGAGCAATGTTGTCACTCAGCTGGTTTTAAGGTCAAAGGTTAAAGAAAATGTTGAGGTAGCACCCACCAGTGTGTTGCCTTCACTGGCAAAAAGAAAAATGAAACTAAAAGTCAGGGGGGAAAAGGTGTTTCTTTACACGCAGCAACAGAAATATTCATATCTGTATGAACAACTCTTCGGGGAGTCAGGTTAAATTGAGTCTTTGTCAATTTAAACTAAAAGATTCACTTTATAAATGATGGTGCAGTTTTAATAGTAACAATTCAAGGCACTGATGCTTTTAAAGTGACCCAGAAATTGTTTATCTTACTATGAATGAGCTCCCAGCCTTCAATCGTCATTTTCTCCTTTAACATAACTGATTATCTGCTAAAGTCACTTCCTAAATGTCAGGAAAGTTCCACCCAATCATGGAAATTATGAAAATAAAACTTCTTTTTAAATTTTTTTTTTTAAAAAAGTTCTAACAATCCAATCCAAACAATACAGTCTGTCCCTTTCTCTCCATCCTTCTGTCCCATCCACCGCACCGGCTCAGCGTTTCTCTCCACCCCTCCTCTGCCTCGTTGTGCTGTCAGCTCAGGGTGTGAGCAGAACAACGTTAATGTGTGGAGACACCTGACAAGCCTGCTGGCCTTTAGGGCTCAGCCTAATCACTCTAGACCCGAAACCATCGGGAATTAAACCTGCAAAACCAAACAGTCACTGTGGGAGCTGGCTGGGAGCTGGCTGGCATCTGCTGGGGCCACTCCATCGGCTGCTGAGGGGAAAGGAACGTTGCAAATGGCGCGAGAACTGTGCTGTTTTAATGGACTAAAATCCACAACCTGGGTAGATTTATTGCCAAACCTGTTGTGCCATTAAGTAGCCAGGACATCAAGTAAAAAACAACAACAACAAATAACAATAATAATACAAATGTTTCAAAGTTTTACTAAACTAAACGTATCTTGAGGAGAACTACCTCCTTCAATTCCTGTGAGTTATTCTATTCAGGGCTTTGATTTTTCATTGTAAATCCGACAGGATGGAGGTATCAGAGTTGAATGCACGTACACACAGGAACACTTTCACGACCATTATATTAAAAAACGTCTAGAAAATTTAATACTGCACGACTACGGAGAGACCGACAAATGCTGATGTATGACAACATAAAGGAGGTTAAGACAGCGAGAGGCCAAGAGTCAGTCTGAAAATGTCACCGTAATGTGCTTGAAGTAACATTAAAGCTCTTCTCCACCATTCACGCTACAGTGCTGTGTTAACTTTAAAATTAATGGGGATTTTCCAGTGTTTAAAGTACAGTAGCTTGTTAACTCCAGTATCTGTTAAGCCACACTGGGCCCCTTCTCCACTCTCTCTCTCCAGATGCCCTCATTAATTTTAGATTGGCTCTAAATGAGTCTCCTTCATCGCAGCCAAGGGTTTGTAAATTGGATTCATTTATATTTAAATTGTGAAACAGGCGTGGTTAATGAGAGAGTCGTTATTTTGGGGGGTTATTTCAGATTGGGCCGATAGCCGGCGCAGCTCAGTGCTGTGCTGAACTAAAACCATCAGAGTAGAGGCACACGTGATGTTGGGCTTAACGTTTTCTCTAACACAAAAAAAAATTAAACATGTTTAAATTAGATATATATTTTGAGGCACGTTGTTAATGAAAATGGTAGAATGTACAAGCACCTTGGCATCACCGTTTATTCTTTAACTTTAGAACATCACTTGGATCTAAGCTTCTAAAATGTTTTCTGTATGAAAATGTGAACAAAATTAGGGAGGAAAAACAACCGCCGTGTGTTTGTGTCCTTTGTTAACACCTAATTTAACACTCTTAAAACTAATGTGTCACTCTCAACGCATCTGTGTGGTTTTCAGCGCCGCATGTGCCAAAAACAAGCCGGTGAACGTGTTGACTTAACAGGTGCCTCTATCAACACATGACGCCCTGGCAAAGCAGCGGGACGCCTCTCAACCTAAACTGCTAAAACTAGAGTGTTGAAAGTGCCACATCTGGGGGGGGGGGAGAACACGAGGTGAGACGACAGAGATGTCCCCCCACCCCAAACCCATCCCTCTCATAAAAACCCCAAATCACACAGTGCTTTACAGCTGTACATCTCCTTGCAAGGCTTCTTACAGCTCTCGGCGTCCTATAGCAACCCCCAGCTTCTCCCTGCTAGGAATTTGACTGTTAGGAATCTAAGTGCCAGGCGTTTAAAACCTGAGGAATGCTATTGTTCTGGTCACAGCTGCACTAGCACTGGCCTGGCTACTGCTGCCACTGTGTGCGTGGGGAGGGAAGAGGGGGGTGGTGGGGGTGATGGTGCAGGAGGAGGAAGAGGGCGGGAGAAGTCGAAGGTGTGAAAAAGGCAACTTTACGTGTTTTCAGTGCTCTGCGGTCTCATGACAAAGCAGCACATAGTTGACAGTAAGTTGACACATTCCTCCAGCCCGGCCTCCTCTCTGACTAACTGCCCTACTACTCTTCTAATCTTCTTACAGCATGAGATGCTTCACTGTATGTAGGTTATATCTGAAGCTTTAAAAAAATATATCAGATAAATGTGCACAACACACATGCTTGGAACTGATAAACACACAATGGTATGTATGCAGCGATGCAGTGGAAGATTAAAACTGCTAGTAGTATAGTTGGTGTCAGGTAAGCCCATACAGGAAATTTATAGTAGTTGAGGACAGGGCATTTTAAAGCTTCTTTTAAAAACAAAAGACATTTGTTGTCTTTTATACAGCTTGGCTCCAAGATGGGTTTCGCTCTCACAAAGCTAATTTCCCACTTTGTGACATCTGACATGTTGATTCTATATACCGCTGCTGTTTAATTTGGATGAAGGCAATAGTAGAGGTCTGGCAACTTTGAGTAACAGGCATGTGTTGTTTCACTAGTAGAGCTGTTCAGTTTCTCTGCTTAAGCATATTTCTTTAAGGCTAGTCAAAATTAGCAAGCTAACGAAGCTAGTGCTACCATTAGCTAGCCTTTCCCTAGATCTACCCGCCCCCCAAACTGGCAGCCTTTGAAAGGTACTCCACAAATGATTAAGGGCCAGGTTTTAGTGTTAAAGACAAAGTACCGTTGGTACTGACAAAGAAACTGCAGTGACAAGACTGTGTGTAAGAGGAACTCAGAGATGTTTGCGACTGACCATGTTGCATATATATTTCTGGAAGTTCCTGGAAGTATTTCTGGAAGTAATTTACTGACACTGACATGCAGTTTACTGCTGACCACACCAATATTTAATGCTAGGAAAACAGCATGTCTTATTTTTTACGCTTGATATGAAAAAGAACAAACTGCGCCTGTGTTTAGAAAACAGTAAAACCGAGTAAAATCACTCGTAAAACTAACCACTCCCGTAAGTGCTATTTGGGACACTATTTTAATGCCATTTAATAAATCATTTAATAAACAAAACAAGAATGTGCTGTTGCTCTGGTACCGATACTAGTGTATATCCTCAAATTATTTTCAGTAGCTTTTAGCCACTCCTCGTGCAGATGGAGTTGCTCACTTTTTATAGAGATTTCGGCGTACCACATCATAACGTTTGCTACTAAAATTATGTGCTGCCTGAAACAAGTAAAAGCTATTTGAGGGATCTTGGTTCATTTTCTTTTCACTTCAAATGAGCAGTTGGGTTCGGGGGTTGGGGGGGCTTTCTGCCCACTATATTGAACACAATTTTTATGTGACTGATTTTAGGTTGTTAATAAATAAAAATCAATGCCCGGCAATGTACTCTCAAGTGTGTTTGTGTGCAACTTTTACTATATAAATCTGTCAACAGCAGTGAGGATGCAAAGCTTCTCTCTCTCTCACACTCACTCTCTCCTTCTCTAGTAATTACCATCCAGCTGCTTGCAGGAACAATGCTTGGCTCTCTTCCAGACGGCTGACTTCATACACTCTGTGCCACGCTCAATTTGGAGCGCAGCGGAAGCTGGGCATGACTGGCACCCTCCAAGGCATTGCTGTCTTTTTCTATGGGACTCTGTGTGTGTTTGTGTGCATGAGTGCGTGTACGTGTTTGAGAGTGTGTATTTAGGTGTGTTCCCTAAACTTACCATTTGTCATTTTGCCATCCCGTTTCCCATTGTCCCGCTCTCTCACTCGCGTCTTCACTCTCTCGTTACATCACTAGAAGAAGAAGAAGAAGGGGTGAAAAAATGGAGTGTTGTTTTTAAGGGAAATCAGCATGTATTCTGCCTTGTTTCAGTATTCACTTGGAGATCTGTTTAGGAGCAGACCCAGAAGGAAGATTGCCACATACAGATGCTCAGATATATTTAATGGATGATCAGCAGAGTACAGAAACATGATAAAATCATTCATTCTGTGTGTTTAGCAGAGCAGATGTGGGTGAATTCATAGAAGGCAGATTTATGAAAACACTCTGGCTTGGTGAAAAGCTGCTGAGACTATAAGGTCAGAGTTCACAGTGAATCCGTGTACACCCACAATAGTTCCCAGTGTTTCCTGATGCAAGGCTGTGTTACCAGGCAACGAGTAGTGTTCGGGGGCTAGTAACTTGCTGACTCCCCCCCTGTGCACTTCAATAAAGTTTAGATTCAGAAAGTTAAAGGTGACTTTGGTTAAAACGACTGCAAACTTTGCCTAAAACTAACGTCACAGCAGATCCACTCCCAGCTGTCTGAATATGAGGAACTCCCTCATTATGCGGGTCAGAGGAAACTATTGTTATCACTCCACTACAACACACACTCACAGACAGACAGCGTGAGGAGGAGGCGGGATGAGGGCACAACTCAGACAGAAATCGCTCAACACATATCTTTATATGGCTCCCTGCAGTCGCTCTATACAACTGTACACACGCACACACAAGCACACCCGTGCAAACAAAAAGCACGTACATAAACACGTACATAGTGCTCCCCTTTCAGACCCTGTCTTGGCTGAATAGGGGGCAGTACGAGCGGACTCTTCCTCGCAGCATAATGAAGAACTGTTTGGGTCCAGTACGCCGAGTTACGCCGATTTCACTGCCCAAAATAAGCCTCAAACATGCGCAAACACGAACACACACACATACTACCAGGCCCAGTCTGGCTCTTACTGTTTGGGACAGAGGGGCATTTAAAGAGGCGAGATAAACAGCAACAGTTGCTAATTGTTGCGTAACAACTCGACAAGGACAGAGCAGCGCTAAAACAGAAAGTCTTACAGTTTCATTTTGATTTGGGATTCAAGGCTGTCTCTTGACACTGGGTTTGACCACGTTTTTAAGGCGATACATTTGCGAATATACATGGCGATTTTCTGCTTTTTTTTTTTCTCATGAAGAAGACAGAATCCTTTTTATCCAGACATCGATCATATGGAATTAAAATGGGATTGAGATGTTTAGTTTTACAACCATATTGAGCCACCACCTAAACAGGCAGAAAGATATCATTGAACATTTAAAATAACAATAATAATAATAAATCAAAACTATACAAGGCAGGATATGTGATGCACAGACAAAAAACTAATTAAAAATTTTTCCAACTGCATAAAAATGTGCTGTGGATAAATGGTAATCTGTGTGTAATCCCCTCTTTAAGTGCTCTCACTAAGTGCTCTCATGCGCTCGTATGACTGGACAGGTAGAGCAATGGAAAATGAAAGAGGACAGGCTGGAAAACTGTAAGATTTACTTTGCTGCTAGCTAAACAAGATAGCTTTAGCTTGAATTTAAGCTGTCAATAATTTATAGCTGTTTGCAGCATCTCTTAGTCTTTCATCAGTCTCACATTTTGCTATCTAAACTTGTTATTGCATCATTATTAACACCTGCATCAGCACAGTGACAGAACATTAATGTAAATTACACCACAAAAGCAGTAATGTCATTCCCCATTTGCAAGGCATATGACTGAGGCTGGTACAGCGTGGCACAGGACCAGGCCAAAGCAAACAGAGGTGTGTTTCTGATTTGACTGCTCGCTCAGTGCCGTTACAGAGTTAATACAGACGCTCACATAATGCAGTGTGGCTACCACCAATCAGCGGTGGTATTTTTGGAAAGTGAAGTAAAGAAATCTTGCACCCCTCGATATTCCTTCCCACTGTCGCCAAGTGCTTGCTCGTAGCGGGTCGTTTGATTGTTGGGGTTTGCTATATAGATATAACTGAATTGAATTTTATCACAAAGCTGGTGTAAGCTGTCATTTCCTAAAAAGTCATAGGGTAACTTCCTTAAAAGGGAGTTACAGGAGCATGCTATAAAAGAAGGTGTGCAGTTGGTTTTAGTTCAATCACATTTGAATTGGTGAAAATTAGCTTAAAAAATCACGACCACCAGTTTTTGCAGTGTAGTTCTACAGTCATGGGCCCCGTCCCTGTGAGATTACTTCTACTAATATACACTGAGTGGACATGTAAGTTTGTCACGTATGCAGGTATGTATGCATCTATTGACCTGTGAGCACAAATGCATACGTGTTCATTTCTGGGTATCTGTGTGTGGATGCGCACATTAATGCACGTCTGTGTAAGTGTGTGTGTGTGTGTGTGTGTGTGTGTGTGTGTGTAATGGCAGTGGGCCCCCAGGGCTGGGCCCCCCACAGTTTCCAGCAGGATTGTGGGTAGCTGGGAGAGGGTTTGGATTCTGGCTTTGTCTGTCTCTGTGTGCTGACATCACTGTGCTGATGGCACCAAATCCCTGTTCTACTGCACGCAGCACTTTCTATACAAAACACAAATACAAACACACATTCTCACACATGCGGACACATGGTACAAGTAATGCCAACTTAGCCAAAAAAAAAAGAAAAAAATGCGCTTTCTCTTTTTGACACACATCCAGACATCCATGATGTGGCTATGCCATCATACCGTGAGCTTTTTAGCAGATATTTGACGCTGTCGTCGACCTGTAGATTTTTATAAAGCAATGACAGCTTGTTTTCAAACTAATGATCACCAAACTGACATTCAGTCACCAGTTAAAGATAAATTTCAATAATTCCTTAAAGTTTTCCACACTGACTTTTTCAGATTCATCCAAGACAACATTAAAACATGCACGCACAAGGATATTATGATATTCATGGTATTTACATGTTTTCCTACATACTGAGTATTTCACTGTTTCCTCTCAGCAGCTTGTGCCACACACGAGTCTATTTGCTTCTAAGCTCAACTATCTGACTGCGTCTTTACATAGCCTGGTTAAATATTAACTGAGAGCCTTTCTCTTCCCTCTAGTGCTGTCTTTGGTATGTATGCAGCTAGCAGGAGGGCGGGAGGTGTCGGGTAATGACGGTGACAACACTTCCCCCTCAGCCTAGAGGAAATTGGTAATTGGTTTTGTAAAAAGTACATCGCTAAATTGTTTATTGGTTGCTTTAATTTCTTCCATAGAGAGAAACGAGGCCAGCGTCAACGTGCCAGAAAAAAGTGTTTACCAGGGGAAAAAAGTTTCAAGGTGATAAATGATGATACCAAACAGGTTGCCTTGAGATTTCAACTGAGAGTCTGAAGCTGCAGCAGGATGAGTTCTTCTCAAATGGGAAGAAATGTTACATTTTAATGCATTCAAAGTGTTGATATGAACATATTTAAGAAAAAAAAAGAGAACCGGAGCTATGTTTCCTAAAGATCCCATTGTGAATTTGTTTTCCATTTCATTCTTGGATAGGGATACAGTGTCTTGCTCAAGGGACACTTCAGGGTAGCAGCTGCCTGCTGACGCAGATTCACCCTACATCCTCTGTTTGAATAGCAGTCTCTAAAAACCACTCATCCTGCTTGATGCCCTCGTGTGGTTTTGTACTTTGCAGGTCATACAAGGGCTTAATATCTACACACAGAAATACCATGAGAAAAAAAGCATGAACATCAAGCACACACACACACACACTGCTCCTAAGAACCCCAGAAAGCGATTGGGATGGACCCAGCACTCAGAGGCACTCAAAGCCAATCAAAGCTGATGATAGCACAGACGTTTATACTATCCATCAATCCACTGCCTCTCTCTCTCTCTCACACACACACACACACACACACACACACACACACACACACAAACACACACAAAAAACATTTTTGAAAACTGCCTTCTTCAAGTGATCTCCATCCACATATCACTGAGGAGGTAAAGGGTTATCATGGTAACGGAGAAAATGTGAGCACAATGATGCCAATGGTGCATTTGTACTACCGGAGAAGTGAAAGACTAACTCATAAAAGATTGATCAAACATTCATTTGGCAGGGTGAGCTTTCTGTGGAGATGCTGGCTTACAGGTGAAACACAATGTCCTGAAGTGTTTAGGTGAATTCTGAATATATCAGAGGAAGGCTCTGCGCTCTGTCCTCTGATGAACAGTGGGTGAAATGTATTTGTAAAAGGAACTCAAAGTGAGTAGATGGGTTGAAGCCTGGGTTGCCATTCTCTACATGTGACGCACGGGGAATCTGATTAGCACTGAAGTCATAGTTTTACTGAGTTTTCCTGTGCTGCTGTTCATACGGCACTGTGGAAAAGAAAAAGTGAAGAGGACTCAAACTATCAAGGCAACACGATTCAGTTCCTTTTAGTGTTGTTGACTTTACTTTGATTTTAGACAACACTTCTGGGAACCTGAATGTCCTCGCTCACCTAATTACTCTCTTGAGGTTAATAATAAAATTCTTGCTCAGCGGCATGTTCCCGGAGCCTGGGTTTGTGTTTCCTTCAGGAAAACTGGTGATCTTTAATTTGCTGGGTAAATGTGATAAGCACTACACCGACACACTGCTACAAGACACTCTTCTTTTATAAATAAATGTTATTATGTCACATATAACTTATGTGTGTTATACAATATAGATGCAGTCTACAGATTGTAGTTCAGATCTTAGCTTTATGAAATATTTTCCAATAAAATTAAAAATCACTGCATTTCTGAAAACGACTAGCCTTTGACGTAAGCTCACAAGATTTTTTGTTGCTGCTGTCACATCTTTAATCTTTAAAGATAATCAAATGATAGCTGTCTTTTTCTTTGTTCTTTATGAGGATAAAACTTACATGCAGATGATTAATATACTGGCAAGGTTGTTTTGTTGAATGTCCATATATGTTTACTTTATTCCTTTAAAAGTTTTAAATCAACTTCTCTATCTATATCTATCTTTCTAGCTGTC